GGCGTCTCCCTTCACCCATTTAACATTTTGAGAAAATTGCCAAACTGGTTTCCAGAGTACCTATACCATTTTATATTCTCCCCAGCAAATATATGAAGGCTATACATATTTCTGCATCCTCACTTGCAACTTATAATTGCCTTGTTTAGTTTCATTGTCCTCATGGATAGGAAGGAAGCCCCACTGATCCTGCAGGCTGAGCACTGGGCTGCTAAACAAAAGGTTAGCCTGGGCTGCGCTGTCGGATGAGGCTGTCCACTCTTGTAAAGAGCCACCACCTCTGAACCCCGGGGAAGGGCTCTGCTCTGTCCTGTGGGGTCAGTCCAGTGGGGCCGATGGTTTCCAGCAGTTGGGTTCTTTATGTTTTGTTTTCTTGGTAATGGATATGAAGTAATATCTCTTTGTAATTTTTTTCCCTAATGCCTAATGATATCAGTCATCTTTTCTGATGCTTGTTACCATCTGCGTAGCCTCTTTGAAGAGATGTCTAATCAAATCATTTGCCCATTTCTTACTTAATTCCTCCATTTGTCTTTCTTCACATTTGAGTCATAAGACTGCTCATGTGTTCCAAGTACAGATCTCTTATCAGAGCGGTGATTTACAAATACGTTTTTCCCATTGTTCAGCGTGATGTGCGTTGGTGAATTCTAGTGTTTGTAGTTTTCCTGTTTTTCCTCTGCACTGGGGGTTTGGGAGTGTCTCTGTGCCTGGAGAGTGGATCACAAGGCAGGTAGCCAGCTGCGCTTCCCCGGAGAAAAGTGAGCACACGCCCTTCTCTGCCTGTCAGAAGCTCCTCGGTCACAGCAGCACAGGCTTCCCGGGGCCAGCCACAGTCTCTCAGCCGGAGAAGGAGATGCTGTTTTGAAAGAAAAGAGGAGGTCCCTTCAGATCGAATTAGAGTTTGAACTTTATTATTTCCTAATTGCTGGTTGGATAATTCAAACGCACTTGGATTTTGGTTTAATCTGATCTTTTTCTTGTGTCCTCGTCCTGTTTTCTCTCTCCTTCCTTCTTTTCCTTCTCGCACCTCCAACTCCCTGTTTCTGTTCCTCTAGGTTGAAAACGGCTCAGGAATCAGTCAACAAGTTGACCTCAGAGAAGAAAGTGGAGACAAAGAAAATCAATCCCACAGCTAGCCTGGTGAGATGCCCTTTGCAGCTCCCTGGAAGTTTCTTATTCTTACTGAGGTGCACCCAGGAGCGTGTTTACAGGTGTAAACGAGGTGTCAGGAATGAGAACCTGGAACATATCCAGAAGCTAGCAGTACACATGTCCTCAGTTCCACCCGAAGTAGCATATGGTCGAAAGGAACAGAAGGGGTCAGAACATCACTCCACAGTTTCTCTCTGCAAACTTAGCCGAGATCCCTTCTGACCAACCAGATTTACTCCCTTGCCCTTCCACATCTCTGTACAAGTTGACATCAGAGAAGAACGTGGAGACAGAGAAGATCCCCCCCCAAGCACCCCTTGCTCCTTTTATCTCACAGT